TGTAACTTATTCAGCTTAAGATTTTATTACATTCTGACTTCAGAAATGAATTCCTCATTCAATTTCAACCATGGTCACCACTGACCAGTTTTACACTACTCTTCTCCTTCATGGACTTTGTAACATTTCACCGTACCTTGTGAAATACCAACCAAATTGGAATTCCTTCTCTCCCAACCACATGTACATGTAATGATTATGTCATCCAACTTTGAAAATCCTCTCTGAGCTTGTTGATTCCGCTTCCAGAGGATTTTCAGACTCCAGACCAACTCAGAACCACAACAACCAGAACCAGATCAAGCCATCACTTATCAACCAGAAGTACTCCACTTTTCCCACCTTTCCCACTACACAGTGTCATTGGTGTCATTAGTAAGTAACTTCTTATAAGTTTTAGCTAGCATCTTTCTGCTTGTTCTCTTTCTCAGTTTCTCTCAACCTCTCTTCATTCCTCATCAAACCAAAGCCCTGATCAAAGAAAGCAAGCTCTAGCTTCTATTATCTCAACTCTTCCTGTTTGGTAGTACAACTGAAAACTACATAGGTTTCCCTTTAAAGAGCCTTGATCTTTGATCTAAAAAATTGTGGTTGACCTGATTCATCAGTGTCAATAACCCATTTCAGTTTCTGTTGATTTGGAGGCGTCAGAGTTAGCTCCGCTTATAACAGCCATCCTACAAGGAAAGTAAGACTGTCAGCAGCCATCCAAAAAGGGACAGTAAGACTGCCAGAACTTTAATCATCATCTTAAAATAAATAAAGAACAAAAATATTTCTTTCTATTTCATTCCTCTTCTCCCTTTTCTCTTACTTTTATTTGTATTCCTCTTCTTATAAGAAATACATATAAAAGTGCCCCCCAAAACCTTGTGTCCTGCTGTCACTATTGAGACCCAGGCTCACATCAACTGTGTCACCGTTCATTGGGTAGTAATTGAATGCATCCCCATCAGAATCGGAGTCTATCCCGGACGCATTTGCTTCTGATTGGGTGCACTTTGGAGGAGATGCATTGGGTTGCTGGGTCTTTAAGAGTTCGTCGCGATCGGTGAAGACATCCAAGATCAGCTTGTTGATCCGCTGGAGGTGAAGGGGATACCGGTCGGTGAACAGCATCATCCTCCAGGCGGGGTGCAGAAATGTCGCCATGATGACTGTGTTGCAGTGAACCGCCAGGTCAAGGTATTTCTTGGTGATGGTGATCATCGGATCGAACATCCGTTCCAACGCAGTCGATTCGGCAGCAATTTTCTTCTTCTCTAAGGAGGCAAGGAGGCGAGCGTACTCGTACAGTAACATTGGCAGCTTGGGTCCATCACCCTCTAACCTTTTGGTCATCTCAAGAAACTCCTATGTCGGATGAGAAGATGACAATATGATCAGTGAGTGTTTTGACAAAAGGAAAATAGAGAGATAACGACTAGGTCTACTCACCTTTAATACCTGATTGAGGGAGTTGACATCGTCCCATTCCTTCGACGACAACTCGTATGAGTTGAAAAAGTGTTTAGCGGCCGAACGCCCGACATACTTCTCAGACTCGTTCTCCAAGAGCTGTTTTATGACCTGGTTGAACAGGATCAAACAGCATCAATGAGTGAGTGAGTCTTGCACTTGGGTTGCGTTGGTCGGACTGCTTACCCGGCGGCCTTCGTATGCGCGCTGCCTGCTGTCGTAAGCTATGTTCCATCTTATTCCGTAGCCGCCAATGACCCCTCGTCCTTTGTAACCAAGAGTCTTGGCCCATAGTTTCCATTCAGCCTGCTTCTGGGGTGATCCCGCGATTCGTCGGCAGATATAGTCAATCTACACATGACCAAGAGGGTCAGACAGAAGCTTATACCTGATTGAGCCTGAGAGATGCTTACTTTTTTCAAGGTCAAACCGATCCCAGACTCGTCCGCTTCGTGCTCATTGTCACCATCGTCGTTGTGTTCCCATCCAGGAACTCCAAGTTCTCTCTCTGCATCGACCGGGTCAACATCATCGTCCTCCGACGCATCAGCCACAAGATCTTCAGGAACCACTTCGACTATCTCGTTGTTGTTTTCCGGCTCTTTTTCCGGCTCTTCCTCCTCAGT